GGATCACTGGAGCCCAGCAGGTCGAGGCTGCAGTGGCTGGGAGCGGCCACTGCACTCGTCTGGGCGACAGAGTGAGACTCCAACTAAAAAAAAATTCCCGTTCCAAGCATTTTGGATAAGGGATACTCAGTCTGTATTAAATCTAGAAATTTTAAATTTGAAAAATAAATCCAAGATCAGAAAATACTTAGAAGATTATTTGTTTACTTTGAGGTTAAAGGAAGCCTTCCTGAGCAAGCTAGGAAACCCAGAGGCCAAAAAAGGAGTTGACCTCAGAAACACTGGGCTGCTTTTAGAGCACTGAGAGTCACTGGTGGGCTGAGTTACACTGGGAGGCAGCATACTTCCTTTTCTGTTTCATGCACAGCAGAAATATCCAGCAGCAATAATAGTCAATGCTGATGGGCAGGCAGGAGGACTGGTTCATTGTTTTAATACAGGTGGAGGAAGCATGATTTGAAAAATTTCTGCAGAGTAATTGGGCCCTATCATTTTGGGGGAACCTGTTTGGTTAGAATTAAAAGCACCAACATTAAAATTTATAAATGTATTCTGATGATGTTTAGTTATTGTGGCAAAAATCTGAAAACAACGTAAATATTTCTCAGTTGGGAGAATTTGTGGTGTGTTCATCTCTGCATCCTGAAGGAGAATAATATGTTGGCAAATGAGAGAGTTGCTGAGGAATGGGGTCTGTAGCAGTATCCCAATTGTGTATCTGACTTGTTATGATCATGCACGAGGTCTGTTAACATCCCCCCCCCCCCAGTAGAGAAAATGTGCTAAGAAAAAAAATGAAGGTGAGGGACAGGGGTAGAAACAGCAAGTTAGATTGCTTTCTGAAACATATAGAGTGGCTGGCTGGGGCTCAGTAGGGCTCCTGGTAATGGGCTCTCTCACCCCACCAAAAATGCCATCTTTCTGCTTATGACTTTCTATTTTTATTTATGTATTCCTATTTTTAATTTTTTGTTGTATAGATGGTGGGGTACAAATCAGTCATAAGTGGTGTAGGTACAGGTGAAGTTTGGGCCTCCCACTGGCCTTCACTTCACCTGGATTAGGACCAGGCACCCTTATTGATTTTATGTCACACTCCCTCCGCCCCCCAATTTGGCAGTGTCCTGCTACTGCCAATCCCTTTCTTGCTGCATTATGATAGGTGCTGAGGGCCCACTTATGAGTGAGATCATGTGGTACTCAGTACTTTGTTTCTGTGATAGATCACTGAGTATGATAGACTTGCTTATGGCTTTTTTTTTTTTTTGAGTTGGAGTCGCACTTGGTCACCCAGACTGGAGGCTCCCGGCCACCGCAGCCTCGACCTGCTGGGGGTTCCGGCGATCCTTCCGCCTCAGCCTTCCGAGTAACCAGAATTACACCACGTCCAGCTACCACACCCAGCTGAATTTTTGATTTATTGTAGAGATGAGGTCTCGCTGCCCAGGCGGTTCTCGAACCCGCGGGCTCAGGCAATCCACTCACCTCAGCCTCCCAAAGGCGCGGGATGACAGGCTGAGCCACCGAGCCCGGCGCTTATGGCTTTTTAATATGGAAGTGAGAATTACCTGTATTCCCACCAAGAGGAAATTACTCTGTAAATCCTTCCAGACAAAACGCGCCTCTGTTATGCTACAATCTATTTAACCAGTTCTCCACCGAAGAACAGTTATGTGTTTACCCATTTTTTACCACGACACCCGGTGTGCGTGTTTCCAATCCTTAAATTCAGTATAGATTCTGGAAAGAAATTACTGAGACAGATTTTTACTTTTGGTAATATTCTGTCAAAACTGCTTTCTTCAATCCTGCATTACGGGAGTGACTTTTCATCTTTGAAATTATGGGAATAAAGGAATATATAGTTTGAGTTTTACTGGTTTGTTTTTGAGTTGGAGTCTCTCACACAGGCTGGAGTACAGTGGCACGCTCATGGCTACGGCAGCCTCAACCTGCTGGGTTTAGGCGATCCTTCCGCCTCGGTCTTCCAAGTAGCTGGAACTATAGGTCGCGCTCGGCTAATTTTTTGATTTGTTGTAGAGATGAGGTCTCGCCATGTTGCCCAGGCTGGTCTCAAACCCATGAGCTCAGGCTGTCCTCTAGTCTTCGCCTTCCAAAGTGTTCGGATTACAGGCGTGAGCCATCGTCCCCGGCCAAAAGGACATACATCGTTTAAATACACCGAACATTAGCACTCCTGCTTTTACGTCCTCCCCCCTGTGGCTCCTCCTTGCTAATCATGGTTCCATGCTTGTAGCATGGCCCTTCGCTGGCGGGGCTGAATCCGTGGTGGTGCGTGGGTGCAGAGGGCCCCGCTGATCCGGTGGGGTGGGGGGTGGGGGCTTGCCGGCACCGGGAGCCGCTTCTCCAGCCCCTTCTGCCCTGCCCGCAGCTCATGATGGAGCAGTCCAAGAAGTCCTCGCTCATGGTGGCCCGCAGTATCCTCAACAACAAGCTCATCAGCAAAAAGCTGGAGCGCTACCTGAAGGTGAGGCGTGGGCCTCGGCCTATCCCTGTCCCCAGCCTTGTCCCCACATATCCTCTCCCCATCATTGTACGCGCCTCTTCCCACAGGGCGAGAACCCTTTCACTGACAGCCCGGAGGAAGAGAAGGAGCAGGAAGAGGCTGAGGGTGGCGTCCTGGACGAGGGGCCGCAGGGCGAAGCCGCAGGGGTCTCGGAGGGTGCAGAGGGCACGCCGGCGCCACCCCCTGTGCCCCCAGAGCCGGCCCCCGGGGCCGTGTCTCCGCCTCCGCCGCCGCCCCCTGAGGAAGAGGAGGAGGGCGCTGTGCTTCTGCTGGGAGGCGCGCTGCAGCGCCAGATCCGCGGCATCCCGGGCCTCGACGTGGAGGACGACGAGGAGGGCGGCGGGGGCACCCCGTGAAGCGGGTCCGGGACAGGCGTGGCTCGCGTGGCCGAGGCTGGAAGCCGAACCTAATAAAGTCCTTCCGCCCCACCCTACCCTGGTTTATCTGTTAGTGGGCGGGCGGGAAGGGAGCTGGGAGCGCGCGGAAGGGAGGGGCGGGGCGCGCCAGCGCGTGGGCTGGGGCCTCGGGCACCACGTCTTGACCACAACTCCCGAGATGCTGAGCATGTCGGGCCCGAGCAACCCGAAAGGCGAGCTGGGAAGGCAGGGGGCGGGCCCTCCGCCAAGGACAGCCAGTGGCGGCGCGCGGAAGGAGTGACGCAGGGCGCCTGCTCTTCCAGTAGCAGGCAGCGGGGCTGCGTTGAGCGCATGCGTCCGGCGGCCGCCTAGAAAAAGGAGCTGCTGGCGGGCCGCGTCGAAGACATGGAGCAGTGCTACGGAGGTTGGTGTCGGCTGCTCGGCGCGGAGCGGGGTGGGGAGGTGCTGTGTGGTCAACGCAGCCGCCGCCGCGCAGTGGGCCGCGGGCCGGGGCCTTGGTTCCCAGCACAGTTGAAACTCGGCCTTGTGGAGGGGGGACCGGGGCGCGCGCGCCGTTTGTTGGGCTCTAGCGCCGTCTCTCCCGGCGTGCCGCGTGCGGATTAGCCGCCGATGCCCGTGGAGGGTTTCGCGGGGCTTCGGGGGGGCGCCTTGGGTGTTCCAGGCTCTTTCTGCCCCGCAGCCCCGGCGGGGCCCGCTCCTG